CTTGCCTTTGCAACGCTAAGGTGTTGGTGTCAAGTGCTGAGGCACAATATTTGCTGTCCACCGCTTTTGATTCTTTGTTCATCTTGAGTGATCCTTTCTTGAAATACTTATAATGCTTTATCTTTTAATTGCATTTAATTGAGTCCAAACATCCTCCAAGCGTAGATATTATGTCCAAATCAAATATTGAACGTATGCAATTTAGTCTCCAAACTTTGGATTTCGCCCCCTAGGGCATTTATCGCTTTTTTTTCAATTTCACTTTTAATCATCAGGTTTCAGCTAACAAACAAAGTATACAATAAATTAGGTCATAATTAAACAAAAGACCTACTAAATGTCTCTATTCATCATTCCCTTCGCTAGATTAAGAATTATTTAGCTAAACATCCTCCAAACATTGATATTATGTCCAAATCAACAATTGAATGTATGCAATTTAGTCTCCAAACTTTGGATTTCACCCCCCTGGGGCATTTATAGCTTCTTCTTTTTTTTCAAATTCACTTTCAATCATCAAGTTTCGGCTAACAAACAAAGTATACAATAAATTAGGTCATAATTAAACAAAAGAACTACTAAATTCTCCATTTATCATTCCCTTCGCTAGATTAAGAATTGTTTAGTGTTAAGGTTATTCATGTTTAGAGAAATTGGCATGTTTGGCAAAGTTCAAAAAATTTCCTTAGTTTAGTGTAAGTAAACAAATAAGTTTTCAAATCAATAATTTTTTTTATTAGTGAAAGAATTGAAAATGAATAATTTGCTTATTTCAATATTCTTTACTTTACTGTGAAAGTAAATAGAAATTTTACTTATGAGTAAAAAATATTAATCTAACACTTTAAGAAATAAAATTTAAACTACTTGAAGATATTTAAAATTAAGTTTGACTTATATTAAAGCTTAAAATGATGTATATTTTCAGCTGTGAATTCTAACGAAATAGAAAAAATATATATATTTTCATTAAATGCCCTATAGACCAGTTAGTATTACGATGACTATATCAAAAGATAATCAATTGATTATGGAACTAATATATCTATATTTTCAACGCTTCAATTATGTGATGTATTGTTATTTGTTACTATATAAGAGTTTCCTTTGACAAGAAAAAAAATAAGGAATATGATTTATTTAACATAATATTCATATTAATTAATATTTTGAAGCAGTATACAAAATAAATTGGAATAAAAAATTCATTACACTTACAATAAAAAGAGTAGAATGAGTATTCGAGCTTGCGATCTTATAATGTAATCGCATTCTTTGTTCCAATAGGTGTTTTTATTTCTCTATTCCCAAATATTACATTTCTTGTAAATCGAGCTAGACCCAGATTTTATTATCGTGCTTCAACTAGACCTAAATTATAAATCGTACGTAATGACCGATTTTGCGCGTATAATAAGTTAATAGCAACTAAAAGACTAAAATCAGGGGACTACCATTCTTGAATAGGGCATTAGGGTCAAATGGATTACCAAAACGGAACCTATGTGTCCCTTTCTAGGTTACAAAGAGGAAAGAACCAAATTCTTGAATGCCGTATGACATGAGACGCTTTGATTTAAGAACTGATAAAGAGAGGGAAAAAAAAGTTATCATAATTGAGTTATTCTCCCACAATTATTCCATTCTACCTAATAATATTGTAAGATAGAGATATCTTATCAATTTTTCACTTTTTGTTGGTCCCAAAGATATTTTCTTAATCAATAATTTATCGCAAATTTTCAGTAATTCAATATGATATCAGAATAGATAATATTTATAGTTTAAGATTAATTGTTATCTATTTATATAATTTAATGTGACACGTTATTAATTAACCAAAAAATTAATCTTCTATCGATGTATAAGAAGTTTCTCTCAAATTTGATGACTTAATTTTATTTTCGATTACATGGTTCAATATTATAATTAACATTAGATGCTATTTAATAATTTTAATTATGTGAAAAGTGTAAGGCTACATGTTTATCCTTATGCCAATAAATTTCTTAGGATGCCTTCATTTTTGTGGTGCCCACAGAACTTTGAAGTAATTTCGTAGAATTAGGTTCTGTTCTTTGAACTCACTCTTTGAAATGGAAATTAAACTGAAAATTTATATTACGTACCTTAGTTTATACATCTGAAATTCTCTTATTATCTAATTCCGTCTTAATTTCAATAGAATCGTGATTGCTCAACTACGATCTATTTTATTTTAGAATTTTCTATACATCTGCTCGACTAGTTAAAGTTTGATTTGTCATTCTTGGCTTTCTCTAAAATTTGAAAGGATTATATAAAGTCAAATACAAAATTTAATATATAATTTTTATTTGTGTACAAGAAAAATCTCATCTCTAGATATTTGTAACTTGTAATATTCTTATCCAAAGAACCTAAATTATTGCACAGTATGTGATTAGTGTTGATCACATCTTTGGATTAGCATTGCTCACTAAAACTATGGTCCCCAATAATAATTGCTTTTCTGATGGTGCTTGTTTGATAAATTTTAAGAGAATTACTTATAAATACATAAACATTAATTTTTGTCAATCGAAATTTTTAAATAAATAGTTCTTGCATAAGTCAAACAAAATTATTTATTTTCATACAAAGGTAATAATTATTTCGAGAACGAGTAACATTCTTATTTAATATTTAAATATATTTGAAAATAAAAGCTTGACAAGACATGGTCAAATTATTCTAGCAATCCTGTTTGCAGGGTTTTGTCCAAAAAAAAAAAAAAAAAAAAGGAAAAAAGTTAATTCAATAACACTTGCGAATTGCAATTGCTGCGCGTGCTAATGACAATGACAAAATGTCAGTACATGGTTCCAATCCATTGAGGAGATTTTGACTTACTTTATTTTCTTTGTTCAAGCCCCAAATATCTAGGCTTTTACTGTGAGAAATCTCTTTTCCTTTTTGTATTCATTTTCTACCATTTTATTTTTCTTTTATAAAGAATACCAAATAAAGCAGGACAATTATTTTTAAAGAACTAATAGAAATAGTCTCGTAATTTTGGAAGAAGGGATGCTCCTCATGGAGGGGATTGTGAGAATCAGCTCTGGACGATTGTTTACAAAAATGTACACTATCTTGTAAAATTGTAACATAATGAATGGAGTTGATATCTGTTAAATAAATATGAATTTAATTTAAATTTTGAATGATTAGATTTTAGAAGTTCATTCACAACCCCATAAGGATAAACATATGGATCTAAGCTCATACACCACACTTTTGTCTTATGATCAATCTAAAAATAAATATATAAATAAAATAGCTTTTTAGGGCATTCTACCTCTCTTTTTATTTATTTTCTTTTCTTTTGGAAATAAACCCAAGATATTTACTTTAATGGTCATATCTTGATCATACTACAAGACAAAAAAGTTTTTTGTTTTTTGTTTTTCGTTTATTTTTTTCCTAATCCAATTAGGTTAGAGTAGGAACATTACAAGATAAATGAAAATTACTGTCACATCAATTTGATAAATAGCACTTTTTTGTATTATCTTCAAGTGAGAACGGATTTGGATTCGAGTACATCATAAATTATCTCATTTTGTTTCATTCTCCCTTTTTTTCTTTTATTATTATTATTATTTTTTTTATTTATTTATTTTTTTTTTTTGTGGACTTAAGTTGAGGGTTGAAGTACATGATTTTGCTTATTCATTCAATGTTCTATATTTTACTTAAATTTTATTCTATAACTTAAGCACACTAATGGTATCGATGCCCAACATGTTGGCATATGATACAATAATCCCTTTGTCTTTTGAAGTTTGTTCAATGAATAGACAAAATAAAAATATACCTTTTGACTTTAAAATTTAAATTTAAGAACATATTACAACAAAGATCATATTCATAGTTGATAAATCAAAATCTCTTGTCAATCTAAAATAATGTTCAAACCTCAATGTTACATGTAGAGGATCCAATACAATTAGTGGAGGTCAAGTTCAAGAATTCTTCCACGCTATTCATTTGACAAGTGTGCAGATTTTGACACACGATTTAACTGTTACCAACTAGCAATGCATACAGTATTTATTTTCCACACAACTAATCTGTTTCATTACTCATAAACAACATTAATTACCGCCTCCACCCTCCCACGCCGCACGCCTTGCTACTTGTACATCGAGTTTTACATAATGGATTACATAATGTCCCGTGTTACTCTATCATTTGTTAGTTTAGAACATAATCAACTTTTTCATCCAATCTTTTCCTTGCACATCTTTTTTATGACAGCTTATATACCATTTTTATATATAAGTAGCAAAATCCATTCATATATGTTATCCTCGTTTGACTGTTCTTTTCACTGTCGCTAAAACTTGGACACCTCAAATTTATAGTTAAATATTGAAATTTTGGTATAACAATGAATGAAACAACTAAATCGAAACGATAAATCCCATTATATAGATAGACTTTTTTTTTTATTTTCTTGTCATAATTATGTAGTTCTGTCTCTTTATTGAGAATATTTTGTTTTGTTCGTTTACTAATATACCTTTATTTAATTTGTTTAATTATAATCAATTTTTTTTTTTTACTTAATTTTGAAATTGTACAAATATAAATAAGGGTAGATTAAAAAAAAATTGGTAAAAATTGCTTTGTCAATAATATTTAATAAGATTTATTAATTCCTGGGAGAAATAAAACTAGCTTTATATAAATGGGACGAGAAATAAAATAAAAATAAAAATAGCAATCAAATCATGATATTAGTAGATCTGGACTAGATCTAATACCCCCAACTACAACCATCCTAGGAATTCAACCTGAATTTTCCATAAACAAGTGGTTGACATTATTGGGAATGGCCTTTTGTCTAGTTGTTACCCCCCTTTCCTTTCCACACCCCTCCCCCACCCTTCAAAAAAAAAATAATAATAATAATAAAAAAAGAAAGAAATTATTATCTACCCGCCTACTACCCACCTCTCCCTACTTCTAAGACAAACCTCAACTTGCATTAAATCCCAAAATTGAAATCTTAATCACCTTAAATATCAAATTCTCTCTCCCAAGAAAATCAAAGAATGTTTTGAGCTTAACTAAGGAACCCTAACCAGAGATTTGGTTTTTCTTGAAAACATACTCCATCAATGGACTTCTACCCCAACCCCACCACAACCAAAAGTCCAGATGACTCTGGATTTGATACCCCACCACATACCCAACCCATTGAACCCTTCTTATCCTTCACCAACGGCGCAATCAAGAAGAACCACCACCACTCACTACCGCCTGTAGTGGTGGTGACATACAAAGAATGTTTGAAGAATCATGCTGCCAGCTTGGGTGGACATGCCATGGATGGCTGCGGAGAGTTCATGCCTTCTCCATCCGCCACCACCGCAGATCCCACCTCCCTAAAATGCGCTGCATGTGGCTGCCATCGCAATTTCCACCGCCGTGAGCTTAATGATCCCTCCCCCACCAGTATAATCCCTCCTCTGTTTGATTTCCGCCACCCACCTCCACCTAGGAGACCTTCATCTTCCCCCTCCCCAACACAACCAACCAACATGTTATTGGCCCTCAGTATGGCGGTGCCGGAGGACAACTACCAGGCTCCGGCGATACCAATAGAATTCAAGACAGAGAACCAAACAGGAAGAAAGAGATTCAGAACAAAATTCAGCCAGGAGCAGAAGGAAAAAATGCACTCTTTTGCGGAAAAACTTGGGTGGAAATTGCAAAAATGTGATGAATCAACAGTTGAAGAATTCTGCAATGAAATAGGAGTTTCAAGAGGTGTACTCAAGGTGTGGATGCACAATAACAAGAGCACTTTTGCCAGAAAAGAGATTAACAATGGCAGAATCATAACCTTTGAGAATAATGGGCTCAAAATCAATGGCGGAAGCAGCAGCAGCAACAATGAGAATAGTAATTGTCCAAATTCATGTTTCAAATAATGGATCTTCTTCTTCTTCATATTGATGAGATAAGAGCAGCTAATTTATATCTTGTTCATCGTAATTGACTGTTTTAACATTCTAATGCAGGAGAAGAAGAGCAAATGAAGGACGATCTAGATGCTTGAGGGAGAGAAATTTTGATTAAATTTCTTTGCTTATCCTTTTTTTAAATGAAAATATAGTTCCTCTTCATCTCTAAGAACGAAGTTAATTACATTTAGTCTAGCTGATTGAAAATATCTTCTTCTTCTTCTTCTTTTTTTAATCGCTCAATCGAGCTCACGGATACTTCTCGAAGAAATGTACTGAGTCGCAGCAATTAGGAATAAAGGAGCACTTCGATGTTGATATTCGTATGTGTATTTTATTTTTATTTTTCCCTTTTTTTTCTTTTTTTTTCTGCAAGAAAATACCAAAATGGTATCTAGATTTGGTTGTCTACAGTATTTTTGGGTGTGATTGTTATAGCTTGGTCACTATAGCCCATGCTTGTTCAAATTTAGATATATAGAATTATTATGGGATGCAATTTGTTGAAGCAAATGGCTGCAATTTTGTCCTGTTTTATGTTATATCATCACTACTCTCTTAGGGAATTGTGTATACCAGGCTTAGCTCTCTTTAGTTTATTTTAAAATTAAATTTTTAATACATTTTTATAAAAGTTAATGAAATGTGTGATTAAAAATTGATAAAAATCGTGAATCCCACAAAATATAAGGTTGACAATGAATTTGAAGAAAAATAAAAATTTTAAAAATAGAGATCAAATGATCTTATCTAAGTTGACATATTAAACATACAATGATATCGTATTAATTATAGGTTCAAAGTAATAAATAAATAAAAATGTATATAATAAGGTTTGATTGGGCAAAAGAGAGAGTTATCACTTTCCTATCCTAAGCAGTGCAAGCACCAAACCTAGTTTTTCTTTATATTCTCTTCCAATCATTAATTTTCATTTTTACTTTTTAATAATCCTCAATGTCCATTAGAAAGCTCCATAGGATCCCATTGGTGTGAGTTAAGACATTTCTCTCCCACCACTTCTCTTATTAAATATTTAGCATCAAGAGTTTAAAGAAATGTCTGAGGGTTAATTTGGTAATCTGATAGAAGGTTTCTTAAGTAGGAATTAATAGAATCAGACAGGGCATCTAATTAACTCTGTGACACTGAGAAATTTAATATATTATCTTATAAATCTGAACTTTTAAGGCAAACAGAAACAGGTTTTAAAGTTGGTTGATTATTAAAATGGAGTCTGCAACCTTACCATATTTGGTAGGTTGATAAGGTGGCAAGTTTTGGCATATTTTGTTGATAATTAAATGATTAATTATTGTGCAAAGTGTAAGATTGTGAGTGAGTCAAACTTGCCTTGGGATTGTTATCATAAAACTATACATGAACATGTATATTTTATCAAGAATACAACCATTAGTCATTTCGCTTTTACTTTTAATAAATCAAAGCAAATAATTTATCACTATGTAGTTTTGTGCTAAAGGATATAATAGAATTAAGGATCTATTTGATTGCAAAAATGGGATTTGAGTGGAAAGAAACGAATTTTAGGGGATTGAATTGTTTAAAATTTGTTTTACTGTGAATTGTCAATTAAATGTGTTTGATTGGTATAATTTTTCACCTAAAAATATTGAAATTTTGGATCTTTTGATTTTTGTTTGGCTTTTTTTTTTTAATGAAAATTGTCAATTAAAGAGATAGAGTTTATTTCCATTGCCAAAAAAAAAAAAAATAGTTGGGAAAACCAATTCCCACGTGAGAATTGATTTTCCACAAAACCAAGGAAAAATGGTGATGTGGAGGGGGGAAGGAAAATAAATTGTCAAGAAAAAATGTGCAATCAAACAATCAAAAAGGTGAAAAATGAAAAAAAAAAAAAATCCATGAATCAAAAAAAAATCCATGAAAAAAAAATCCATGAATCAAAAAAAAATCCATGAAAAAAAAATCCATGAATCAAAAAATCCATGAATCAAAATCCTTTCTTTCTTTAAAATTGATCGAAGTTGATTTTGAATCATATCTTTCTTTTGTGACTTTAACATGCACATATACTTTAAACTTGAACGGCTCGATTAATTTGTAATTTTTCAAAATTTCCTAGTTATACAATAAGGTTGAATTGAGCAAAAACTTTACAAAGATTTTTGGTTGGAATGATTACTTAGAATAAAGATATTAAGATTTTTAAGTAGAAGTGATACAAGATATTTATAAAGATAATCATTAATTGAAGCTAAACAGGATTAGAAGTGTTTCAATTTGAAAGAGAGGTTACCTACAAATGATATTTATTTGTAACTATCATTAGTATAATACTCTCATCATTCAGATCACTTATTATATACCATTGAGACAAATTACGATCAATAATAAATTATAACTCTTATACTCTATTCTAGTTCTTATTTTGAATCCACCGAGTGGACCTAATCAAAACCAATTAAACTAAGCTCTAATAAATTAATCAAGGCTTGATAACCTTTTAATCAGTGGAGACAACTTATTAATCTCATTTGATTCCCTGAAATAATGAGATTGCACTATCAAGATAATTAAAATTACTGAAACTATATATAAATAATAATTATATCCTCTGATTTATTGTTCTTATATATTAACCTCATAGATCATGTCAAGCATAAAGTACCAGTTAGAATGACCAAAAGCCCCTTTCCAAATATATATAAATCCTCAAATCTTATTTATTATTTTACAGTATAATGTAATCATATCACAATATTAATTCAATATTTAATGTCGAATGATTGAACTCTAATATAGTTGTTCACAAGAAAATTCTTGAGGTCATGATCATTCTTGTTAAATAATTTACGAAGGCATATGATGCATATATGTTTCATGTTAGTTCACTTTAATTTTCATCGTACAAAAATATTGTTCAATGATTTGATCTCACAATTGATACTTCGAAGAACTTCAAAATGTAATTAAAGATCATTACTCTTTCATGATTAATGTCATATTTACAAAAAGTTCAAGTGAAATTAAATTTCACGTGGTACAATCCTGTACATCCCAAAATGTGCGCACAATCTTATTACCAAAGTCAAAGATGAACTTAAGAGTGATACAATTTTAATAAAATAAAGTATTGTCTTTATTTATCGATCGTCGATAATAAAACTTATATCAAATTATAGATCGAATATTTCTATGCTTAATAGCACTCGATTTATTATATCAAATCGATTTATACACAAATATAATCTTAAATAATAAAATTTATTTATCGGAAAAAAAATATTATTTTATTTAAAATGTTACGAGTACAATAAATTTACTCGACAGGCAAAACCTAGGCTACAAAATATCTTAGGCTGGTTAGAAATATTTGGAATCAAATGAAAATATAGTTGGTGTTATCATTTCTAGAAGTTGTCCATTTCAGTACCACTTATACATGGGCCTTTCAGTGTTTAGTTAAATGGGCCCCATAACTGGGTCTTCATTTAATCTTTGGATCAGCTTATGGCCCAAGATTGTTCTTCTCAACTTGCAACTGTACTCAAGAAATTCAAGGGAAAAATCACATTTATCCAATAAAATAAAAACATTTTTTGTTATATTAAGGATGGTGTATTTAATTGAAATTTTTAATGACTTTTTGGGTTTAAAAAAGTTTAGAAATATTCAATATAATCTTTTTAAGACTCTATAAAAGTATTGGTGTATTCAATTAAAACTTTTAAAAAGTCTCTAAAAATCAGTATATTTAATTAAAACTTTTTTAGAAGACTTAGTAAATTTTGGAGTACTGAAATTTTAATGGGTTTTATAAAAGTCTCTAGTATACTAATTTTTAAGCAAACATTACTTAAATAAATTCTCTAAATTTGTCTCTTATTAATCAAAAGATTTTGGGAGACTTTCATATAAAATAAATATATATTTTTCTTTTCTACGAACATTAGAATTATGATTTAAAACTATTTTTTTTTCTACTTATTATAGTCGTCTCTATTTTTGTTTCTCTCTGTTATTGCTTATCTTTATTTTCTATGAAAAATAAAAAATTGGATTTTTATAACTTTTTTTTTCTTTTTTCATTTGTTTGTCGTAAAAAATATCTATTTTTGATTAATTTATAAAATTTTACATAGATTAATTTATAATTAATTTTTTTATATTTTAATTATTTATTTATTTTATAAAGGTATGTTGTATTAATAATACTGAACATTAGATTTACTTTTATCATATTATTATTACTATTTATTCAATTAACGTCTTAAAGTTTTTCTTTATTATTTTGAAAATATTTTTTTATTATATAAGAAGGAGAAGGAAAAGAAGAAAGGGAATTGTAGGAACCACCATCTCGTATATTAGAATTTCACACTTTACACTAAATTCGCGTGAATTTTATTTACAATGAAAGCAACTATCAAAAATTTTGAATTCTACAAAAGAGTATGAAAGTTTTAAAATGAAAGTTTATAGTAGTTTATGATAGACTTTCACTAATTTTATACAAATCCATAAAAATTTCACGAACTTCACAAGAAAAGTCCACGAAAGTTTTTAAAAGTCCTAATTAAATATATCTCTCTACAAATTGGATTGTATATTATATATACTATCTAATATCAAAATGAGCATAAAAATATTGAGCCTTAAAATTTAGGGATGGGAATTTGAACTATCAAAATTTATTAATTGACAACCGTCTTCACTCGAGTCTCTGCAATGCGTCCCCAAATTTTTTTTCTTCTCCACACCGTATTTTTTTTACTCGCCATTGCCATTCCAAATAGGAGGGTATTTTATATTTGTTATTCATGTGCTTTCTTTTATTGCTAATTTTTTCTCTTTTGTCTGTAAAAAATTCTACTCCTTCATTATACTCTGTAGCTTGTGTAAGATTTGGTGACGAGGATGTTGACGAAGAGGTACAGTTTTTTGTTTAAATCTTCAGTTAAGACCATTTCGAATTAGGTAGTATGGTTGTATTATTACTCTACTTACATTTCTTATTTACTATATAAGAATCAGCTTTGAGTTTGACGTATGTTAATAAGAGTTATAGAGAAGAATGAAGATTGAATATGAATTGAGATTGGAGCTTTTGAGTTATTGAGTAAAAATCAAGTTCAATGCACAAGGATCAAGGGACAAAGTTATTGTTTAGTATTGTTATGTTGATAATATTGTTTGTTAATTTTGGATTTTGCATTTGAGAATTGAGATATTGTTTGCATTTTCATTTAAGATGTTGTTTGCTACATTGGCTTAGTATTATATTTGTTTTCATTAATTTTTTTCATAAATTGTAATTTTTAATTTGACAGCTGAACCTATAAAAAATAATTTATTTTTGTGGTTATTAACAAGCTAAACCGAGCCAGTACGCGAAACGATTTATGTAATTATGGTGCGGTTATGGTATGATCAAAAAATTGGTGGTGCGGTAATAATTTTGACCAAACCGACCCCGAACCGAACCATTGCCAACCCTATTAAAATTCTTCTTTTAGACTTTTGTAGCTGAGATATAATAAGGGCTCATATTACGCCTACCCAATAATTGCAACCCCATGCAAAAGCTATTTTGAAACTCAATGAAAATTGGAAAGCTACAACACGAGAAAGAATAGATTAATTAGGTTCGTTCACAAAAAAAAAAAAAAAAGATTAATTAGGTTCATTCATTTGCAAGAAAATCAAACATAATTGCCTTAACAGCTGGTGCATATAAAGCGTTCTTCTTGTATTCAGATTTTCACAAATCAAAGTAACACTATAACAAAAACAACATTTTGTAATGTTTTGACGTATGTTGCAAATCTCAACATTATCGTAGAGTAAAAGGATAGGAAACACTTTTTGAATGTTGCTAATAATTTTTTAACAACATTTTTCTTAATTTTGTTAATAACATTTTTACAACATTTTTCAAATGTCGATAATAACTTTTTTGCAATTTTTTTTAAATATTGCTAATAAAATTTTTGCTATGTTTGTTAGAATGTTGAATATTCTTACATCCTTATTATTATTATTATTTTTTTTTTTTTTTTTTTTTTTTTTTTTTGCAACATTCATTGAACGTTATCTTTAATGTTTCAGCAACATTTCGTTGTCGTTTCTGACCTTTTTTTAAAAAAAATTACAGTGTTATATTTATATATATTATTTTACACATATCAAACTCATTCCATAATATTTCTTAGAAAAAATAAAATTACTTGTATAAAAGAAAATAACTTAAAACTGAAGTTTATGTACAAAATTAAATTAATAAAAAGAAGATGAAGTACATGAATCGGAAGTTGCCAAATACATGTATTAAACATCATTCCATTCAGGATTAATATTTTAACACTAGATGAAGACTTATCTGCAAAGGTATGAGAAAAAAATCGTTAACAAACAAATGTATACTGTTGACTTTGGTAAGTGGGCATATTTCGTTCAAAATTAGTCACTCAGTTAACCTCTATTTGCCATAATGGAAATATGCGTGGCGTGATATATATATATATATATATATATATATATATATGGTGATTGTGGGTGTTCGAGGCACCTTACGCGCTCCTCAACTAATCTTACGAGGTCCTGAAGTCTACAATCGAGTACTCATCTCAATGACCTTAAGGGGATTCGAACTGGTGATCATTAAGGAGTAAACCCAAAACTTGATCACTGAACTATCTTTCCGGTTGCATTGTTTATATTGTTCAACTAGGTAAAAATGAAATTGGGCTTACCACATTAGTCTCTCAAAGCACCTCCTCCATTTATGAGGCCTGCATTGTTTATATTGTTCAACTAGGTAAAAATGAAATTAGGCTTACCACATTAGTCTCTCAAAGCACCTCCTCCATTTATGAGGCCCTCTTCCATGTCACAGGCCATTCACCATTTGCTTTAAAGAACTGGCCATAAGCTGAAATGGGAAAGTAATTTTGATATAAGCTGTGAAATAGTGAACTAGTAGATTCATTAAGACATGCTTGTGACGAATTTTTTGAGATGGGTGGCTAGATAAAGATCATAGTAAATTAAGTTCATTTTGAAACCTTCAAATTATTTCAGAAAAACTCGAGTTAGTTTGCATTGGCAATAACTATTCCAAAAAACCAAGCAAATTGACAAACAATGAAAGCGTACAAAACAGTGTAGAAAATGGGAAATTAAAAATAAAACTTTATTCGGCACAATCACACTACTAACTACATAAAACATGAAAGCCAAGAAAAATTGCCTCCTTAAATTCCTTTATTCAACGTAAGATACTAGGATGGCCTAATACAAAGAAACAATTACCCATTTATTCCTATCGTCGAATTTATCTCATATATAACGTACAAAACTATGTTGATCAGCAGTCAAGGATTACTGAAAATTATAATCAGGTTCCTCACAGTTTTAAAATTTACTTCGTAGGAAGATGAGACACTAGAAAAATACCATCATTCTAGCATAAGTAGATCCGATAGGACCAGCTCCAATGACTCTAATTGTCCTTTAAGCATGTTTCCCACGAACCTAAACGAGACACCAATTGAATCATTTTGTTGCACTGAGCAAGAAATCCCGTCCTAATAGACGTATGAACATATAATCAACTGAATTTAAAGAATGTAAACAATAAACATACAAAGTGCGTAGCTACGAGTTTTCCCTTGACTAGCAATGTCCAAAAGCATTTCAGTTGCATTCTGCCATGAAGTTTAATGAGAACTAAAGAAGCAAAACCACAAATGCATGAGATTAAGAGAAAAATATACTTAAAGTTTTTAAATATTGCTATTGAAGCCTCCAATAAGGCCACTAAACCAACTTCAACACCTACATGGTTCAATAGCATTCAAGAGTATTGAGCTATAGCCTAGACATGCACTTGATACTTATAACCTAAGACTTTAAATGTTAATAAAAAGATACAGTGAGTGGATATTCACAACACCATACTAAATGTCATCTCTCAACAAAGTTGTAGGCATGCGCATTTCTATGATGTGATTCAATTAAAAAATTAAATGGATAAAACTTTCAAGACCTAAAATTGGGACTTTCTATCATATAAGCCATAAAAGGGAAACATTTGACGAACATTAAACAACACGACAACATAGTACATACTACAAAACACTAAAAATTAGGGTTTCAATCAGAGATCAAATTTAAACCTAAAATCGGGTGGCCGAAAATTGTAAAACCC